GGTTGAGGCCGTGCCACCCCTTCCCCATCTTCCCCCTCCAGCAGCCCCTGCACCGCCCTGCCGGGCCTGTTCAGCCCTCGGCCCCACTGGGTCTTGCCCTCATGCAACCCGCCCCTACCGTGGGGCGGCCCGGGGGGACTGGGGGAGCTGCAGCAAAGCCCCGCCCGGAGCTGGTGCAGGACATGAGCGGGGCTCTCAGCCCAGGCTCCGGCATCAGCCTGCAGCGGGGAGCGGAGCCACCCCCCGCTGGCTCGGCCCAGCCCGCTCTTAAAGGGACACGGACCCCACCCAGTGGCGTAGCCAGCTTCTCAGTGCAGGGGGAGCAACCAAAAAGGAGCCCCCCCCCCCCCCGGCCCCTCCTCGGCCCCCCTTGCCCCCCCCCCCCTTGGCTCCTCCGGCCACGCTGTGGCCATGCTGCGCCCCCCCTTGGAGGGACTTGGGGGGGGGTGGGCGCGGGGGAAGGGGTGGCAGGTGGGCGCTGCTCGCTTCTCCTGGGGGCTGGGGGGAGCGGAGCAGTGGGGCAGGCAGCAGCTGGCGGGCAGATCCCCTCTCTCCGGCTTCCTGGTTCCCTCACCCAGGCAGCCCAGCAATTTTTTCAAAAGCAGAGCCTGTCGGGCTGCCGCTGGGCTCCTGCAGGCAAGGGGGGGGGGGGCGCAGCACAGCCGGACTCCAGCGGAGCCACCTGGGGGGGGGGGGGGGCGGGCACGGCTGGAGGAGCGAAGCGGCCGGCTCCTCAGCCATCGCGCTCCACGCTCAGCACGGCCGCCTCCTACGGCAGCTCAGGGCTCGGCGGCCGAGCGCTCTGCAGCTGGCGGGCAGATCCCCTCTCCCCGGCAGCTTCCTGCTTCCCTCCTCCTCTGTCACTTCCAACTGCTACATCCCCAGCTTATACCAAACCTTCTTTTGTTAGTCCCTAAATGCATGATCTTGCTCTGTGCACTATTAAATTTCATCCCATTTTTATTACTCCAGTTTACAAGCTCATCCAGATCTTCTTGTATGATATGGACAATACCTCTTAGCTTTGTCTCATTGCAAATATTAGCACATTCTCACTGTGCCAAGGTCAGTAATAAAAATGTTAAATAAGGTTGGTCTCAAGATCAGTCCCTGAGGAATTCCACTAGTAACCTCCCTCCAGCCTGACAGTCCACCTTTCAGTACGACCCGTTGTAGTCTCCTCTTTAACCCGTTCCTTATCCAGCTTTCAATTCTGATATTAATCCCCATCTTCTCCAATTTAACTAATTTCCCATGTGCAACTGTATCAGATGTCTTACTGAAATCCAAAGTATGTCCTTAACTACTTTCTCTTTCAAAATTTGTTCCAAGACCTTCCATACAATTGAGATCAAATTAACAGGCCTGTAATTTCCCAGATCACTCTTTTCCCTTTCTTAAAAATAGGAACTATTTTAGTGATTCTCCAGTCACAGGGAACAATCCCTGAATTTACAGATTCATTACAAATCCTTGCTATTAGACTCATGGGCTAATTCCATTCATATTCTTGGATGGAGATTATCCGCCCCCTGCCCTCTTCAGTCTCATTAAGATGTTAGAGTTTGACTTCCACCTCGGATGTGGTAATCTCTACTTCTGTATCCTCACTGCCACTAGGCACCTGCCACTACCCCAAACTCTCCATTAGCCTCATTTAAAAACTGAGGCAAAGTATTTGTTTACGTGTCAGGCCACGCCAGATAATCTCTATCCCATCCTCGGTGCATAGCAATCCCACTTCTTTCCTTCTTATTTATAGGGCTTTTCTGCTCCCATTAGGTTCAGCCTCAGGAGCACATCCCATATGTTAGCTCCTGGCAGACAGCTCAGCCTTCTGTACTCTGGATCAGCTCTGATGACGGGCCTCTGTGTTCTTCTTAGTAGGGAGCCCCCAATCACATGGACCTGCCTTTTCCTGGTGATGGCGTGATTCTCCAGCCTTCCTCCTGTTCTTTCTGGCTGTGAGTCCTCATGTCTTTTATTCTCCCTTGCAATCTTCTGTGAGTTATCCTGTATTCTCCTGGGGCTCTGAACTCTGGGTATCTCCAATGGCTCCTCCCCTCCTCTTACGGAACTCATCGCTCTTCTCTTCTTCCTTGCCCTCCCTGCTTCAGTTACTGCCTGCTGGGCCCCTTCCTCATTTTCCCACTCAGCAGACCTGTTCCTGAGCCTTATTTTTCCTTCACTAGCTGGTCTTTTCCTCTGCCTGGTTCTTGTAGCTGTCACATGTTTCCACTGCCCACTTTCCTCACCCAGCAGTCTCCCTGTTGAGTTCTTCAGTCCAGCTGGCACCTACAAGTCTTGACTCTTCCCTTCAGCCTCCTCGTGCCTTTGCTTCATCATCTGATAGTCTTTAAACCACGATTTGAGGACTGCAATAGCTCAGACATAGGTTAGGGGTTTGATACAGGAGTGGGTGGGTGAGATTCTGGGGCCTGCGTTGTGCAGGTCAGACTAGACGATCATAAGGGTCCCTTCTGACCTTAAAGTCTATGATTCTATGGTCTGCTCGAAACCCCTTCAAAACTCAACCATTGTTTCCACCTGATCTCCAAGCCTCGGATCTTCTCCTCCATCAGCTCTATCAGGCTACACTTCATACAAAGCTCTTTGCTGGTACCTGTTCTAGGATCATGTACGTCCTGCAGTTTCCACATCCAGTCATGTTCATTGTCCCTTCCATTGCTCGAGTCACTACCTCTGCCGCCGCGGTAGTGTCACAGCCTTCCCACCTAAAGTCCTGCCAAGGAAAAAGAGAAAACAACCAAAAACCCAAATGCTCCTTCCCCAAACTCCCATTTACAGCTCTGCGTGCTGGCTCCTGTGCCACTGGCTGCCTTTATAGGCCCCCTAATCAGGGCTCTGCTTCTCTCACAGCACGCTGCCCCCTCCCAACCGCTACAAACTGAATAAGGAAAAAAACACTGATGAAGTGGGAATGCTGTTAATGTTTTGTCTGAATACTGTGCGTGTGCCTGTTTCCTCGGTGTATAGAACAAGGGTGTGTGATTGATGCCGAGATTCCAAGAGGGCAGGTGTGACTGATCTCTGGTTGCTGGGCACAGACAATGGCCGACATTCTGTATCCTGGCAACTGATGTCTGGGACTGTGCCTCTCCAAGAATCAGCCGGAGGGGTCGGAGAAGGAAGTGAGGTGCAGGCCAGGTGACCTGGGGGAAAGAGATGAAGGAGGCAGGGCAGTGGGTCATGACTGAGGCTGGGCTGTTGGGGGAGCTGGTCGGTCTCCTGGTTTGGGACTCAAGCGGGGAAGCCCTGGAACCCCCAAGATGGCTTTCCTGAATGTTCCTAATTTCTGTGCTAACTGTTCCTGATGACTAATAAACCCTTCTGTTTTCCAAGCTGGTTGAGAATCACTGACTGTGGCGGTGGGGTGCATAGCCCCTTTGGGGGGCATGTAAGGCTTGCCCCAGCCAGGTGGACTCACCGCAGGGAGCTCACAGAGTGAACAAGGCCGCTGAACGCTCTGAGGCCAGACCCAGGAGGTGCTGGAGCCAAGGAGGCTTGCCCTGGTGAGAATGTGCCCTAAGAGGAGACCCACTGCCCTGGAGTCCTGACTGACTTCATTCCGAGCGGTTCCAGAGCACCGAGCCAGTGACTCCCCTTCCATCTCCAACAGAACTCCCACCCGAACTCCTGTTTACAGCTCTGCTTGCTGAAATTTGCTGTGCCTCAGGGAGGTGCGGTATGGGGCAGCTGGTCCAAATTTCAGGGCCCGTGAGCAAGAAGTTGCTGAGAAGCAGCACCTGGCTTGTCCAACTTCTGTTTGTACAGAGCTGGGGCTCAACTCAAGGTTCTAATCCTCCCCAAGCTAACCTTGGCTAGCAGAACAGCCTCCACGCTCTGTTGTGAGGGGTTACATGGGAGTTATGCAAGGCTAGACCAGGAACAGGTCAGAGCATCAGTGGTTCAGCCAAACCAGGAATTAAATAGCATATGCAGCAAGATCCTACTCGCTATAGGATTTTCAGGAAGCCCCTGGGTGGCTCAAGGAGATGTGCTGTGGTGATTGTGCCAATGCTGCATCCCTACTCAGCGATGAAGCTTTACCCGGAAATTAACATTTCTGGTGAAGAGCAGTATTTTAAAGTGCTCTGAACTCCACATGAAGACACTGATTTTACTTTACAAGTATTGTTGTAGGAATGTTAGCATTAAACACCTTTCCTCAGAAACTAAGGAATTAAGGTAAGATGATGAGAGGAAAGCAGGTCACTTGGTCAAGGGGTTCCTAATCCCCAGTTCCTTTCCCATGAGCTATTCCCAACACTTCCGCATTAGAATTTTTTTTTGCAGAGTAGGGAATACTCAGGGTGAAGGGAGGTCAGAGCAGTGGGGGGGGGGGGGGGGGGGTGGTTGGGGAGCTCAGGCCAGAGGGGCCCTGTCAGCCCCACCTTCTCCCTGCCTGTTGGAACAGCTTCCCCCTTCCCTTTGTCCTGGCTGGGACAGGGAGGAGACATGCCACCCACTCTTAAAAAAATCACCCCACACAGAGAGGAGAAATGGGATAGCAGTAAACTGCCAGCCCCTGGGAACCCACCACGTAAGGTGGGAAGATACTTGCCCCCCACCCATGAGCAATATGGGAGCTGGGGTGTCCTTCCTTCTCTCTGCCCTTACGAGGGAATCCAAACCTCTGGAAACTAGAGTCACAATTCTGGCCTCTTACTGCCCCCCCCCACCTGCAAGAATGGGTTTAGCTAAAGCAGCCTCCCTCTTCCTCTATTCCCCTTGCAAAGAGAGAGGCAGGCCGGCTGCCTATTAAAGCTACCCCAGGGAGCTCTGAGCTAGGCTGTGGTTCTTGAAAGATGCATCCCCAGGCCATCGAATCGGTGAAAGTCATGGCAACCTTAGAACAGAGCCCCCACCCCACTTAGAGCAGGAGCTAGCCAATGCAGTCTCAGCCCCACAATGCTGCTGCCCCGGGTAAGGAAGACCATATGGGAATTCAGGTAGGGTGCAATTTAATTGTACAGAAATAAAACATGACTAAGAACTTGCTCCCCTCCTGCTAAATTCTTCACGTACCGAGTGAAGAGGCTCCAAGTGCTTGAGGAAAACACAAAACAAGAGTCTCCCAGTTCTAGCCACTAGCCCAGGCCAGCTTCATTTTCTGGCTGTGGGCTTTGGAGGATTTAGAAAACAAACTCTTCACTATCTGAAGTGGCACCGATTTCCCACTGAGATACAACTTATTGTGACACTCTGGCAACCATGGCTCCGAGTCTCTGCCCTCTCCTTTCTTAAGCATCCAGACGTAGCCCATGATATAGCCAGTCATGAAGGCATCAAAGCCAGCTCGGTGAATGCCCCCTTCCGAGCGGCTCTCCTGAGACACCGCCTGCTTCCCGGCAGAGGATGCAGTTTTAGTTTCAGAACAGCTCTGCAGGTGGACAGTCGAGCTTTGCTCATCAGTGCCCACCTGCTGCCCTTTTACTTGGTCGCTGTCCAAGGCGTTTCCTCTGGCAGCGAGGCTGATGTCTGTTTCTACTGGGGGGGCAGCTGGGTGAGTGCTGCTCTCCTGGTCTGTGGCACCCCCCAGATCCTCCTCCATCTTGACGTCTGTTGCACTGTCAGAGCCAGGCTCACGGTCCACGTCAATCGAACTCTCCACCTCCAGCAGGGGGCCCTCTTCACTGGACACGTTCCCTGCTGGCTCTGCAGGGGCAGGGACCATCCCAGCAGCCAGACTGCCAGGACAGCTTTGTTTGCGTGGAGGACCGTCCTCCCCATTCTGAGCCACCTCCATGTCCTTCCCCCTTCCCGGACTTCCCTGCTCAGACTCTTTCACGGACTCCTCTGCATTCTTCCGTCGCCTCCACCTCTGCTTCCGCTTCTTCCGCTTCTCCTCTTTAAACTTCTCATCCTCGTCGATAATGAGGTCGATGTTGTGAGACCGGGAACACTTCACTCCGTTCGGACACCAGCCGTAGGCCTAGTGGGAAAGGCACATGCCATAAGCAGCGACAGGAACGAGCTTCATGTTTACAGCTACGTTACCCAATGAGTGGGGAGAAGCAGCGTCAGCGGCACTGGGCATTTCTCCCAGCCTGACGCTTGTGGCTCCCTCTCCTCCGGGTACAGCAGCAGTTCAGGGTGTGGTCTGAACCACCAGTGATCCTTCCTGATGGCCTACAGAATGGCTGACACCCAGGGAGCGGAGTGGAGGCCAGGAGGGGATTCTCTTTAGGAAGTGGTCTGCACACAGAAAGCTAGACACGCGAATGTGCATGGTGGGATTATGGCTTCCTTAGACACACCGGAAACTGGCCATGGTTAAGTCTGAGAGTGTCACGGAGGTCATGGATTCCCTGACTTCTGCAGCGGCTGGTGCTGACTCAGGGGCCTCAGGTGACCCTGGGCCACCAGCAGTTTGGGTGTGTGGGAGGGGGCTCAGGGCTAGGGGGGTGCATACCTCAGAGTGGGGGGCTCCCCGGCACCCACTGGCATAGCCCTGCAGCGCCTAGGTGGCGGAGGGGCCGGGGGTCTCCGTGCCACATGCTGCCTGAAGGCCCTGCCCCACAGCTCCTATTGGCTGCAGTTCCCCCCGGCCCCTCCACTGCCTAGGAGCTGCAAGAACGCGGAGCCAGGTAGGAAGCCCCTGCCAGCCCCGCCAACCCTCCCCCCAGCACCAGCAGGGTCCTGCACTGCCCTTCCCTCCTCCCCCCCGGAACACCCACAGCCCCCCACCTGTTTTAGTCACAGCGGGTATTTTTAGTAAAAGTCATGGACAGGTCACGGGCCTGTGAATTTTTGTTTACGGCCCGTGACCTGTCGATGACTTTTACTAAAAATAACCGTGACCAAAACGTAGCCTTAGCCATGGTCAGACCGGAGCTTGTGCACCAGTGGAGTTACACCACAGATGAATTTGATCTAAAGTATAGGAGGCGGTATAGTAGCTCAGGCCAGCGGGCCAACTAGTTCAGTAGCCTGCGGACAGTTCCTTCTGTCTACAGGACGGTATTAGAAACCCTTCTGGGGGCAGCTGTGGGATAAACTGTCCACAGAAAGTTCTTTTAACCCCCATTAGTCAGAGGCTGGCTTGTTCCCTCAAGCAAGCGTGTTTATATCCCTTCCAGAACAGTTCATCAGTGATACTCCTATTAGCCACACAAGTGTCTAATCATAGAATCTCAGGGTTGGAAGGGACCTCAGGAGGTCATCTAGTCCCACCCCCTGCTCAAAGCAGGACCAAATTCCCAACTAAATCATCCCTGCCAGGGCTTTGTCAAGCCTGACCTTAAAAACCTCTAAGGAAGGAGATTCCATGACCTCCCTAGGTAACCCATTCCAGTGCTTCACCTTCACCACCCTCCTAGTGAAAAAGTTTGTCCTAATATCCAACCTAAACCTCCCGCACTGCAACTTGAGACTATTACTCCCTTCCTGAATCAACAGAACTTATGGCCTCAACCTGTGGCAGTGAATTCCAAAGGCTAATTGCGGGTTGGAAGAATGTTTCCTTTTCAGTTTTGAATTTGCTACCTTTCAGTGTCATTGTATTATGAGACTGGGTGACCAGAAGGTCCCAATCTATCTCCCCCACACCATTTATTTTGTAGGCGTTTGGCTTTCTATACTTGCGTCTGCAGGACTAGGTGCTGATACTACTCACCGAGAATGTTTCGCAGACTTGGACCTTATTTGTATCTGCCACCTTGTGATCGGTGTCTGCCACGGAGCAGTAGCGATAGTCTATGTATGGAGACATGCTTGCGGGGTAGTTACAAAACTCAATGGATAGGTGCTGGCTGCTGGAATCCTTCCGCTTGCAATTCTCTCGTTTGCTGGAACACACAAAGATTCAGTCAGGCTCTTTGCAGAAAGCCCAGGGCAGAGCAGGGAAGTCCAAAGGGAACTGTTCTTAGAGGCAACTTTTCGCTATTTATTTTTCTCGTCATGAGGCATGTTTAATAATAGTTCCTTCTCTTCGGCCCTAGAGAAGGGTTCTTTCCACGGGCAGCGATCTCGGGGCACTTGGCTAACGCTGCTCAGAAGGCGCATGCGGGACTCTGACACAGCACAGGAATAACTTAAGGGATCAGTTCTCGGGGTGGACGACTTCCATTAGAGTCAGGAGGAGTTCTGACGGCCTCAGAACAGAAAACAGGAAAGTCACAGAGCTGACCTAGGGACGATCCAGCAGATTCCTGCAGTTCTTGCCTCCTAGTTCCCAAAACAAGTGCTAAAAACAGCTTTAAAAACCACTGGGTGAAGTTTAGGGGAGAGATTCAGGTGGGCTGCACCACTGCCAGTCATCTGGTTCAGGGCCAGATTCCTACTGCAGCTAAAGCAGAGGTCAGAGTGTGTAACAACTGCAGAACTGGGGCCTTTAGCTATGGTACAGATAGACAAGACCGATGTACGTGGCTGCTTCCAACTCCAGTCTGCCAGGAAATGCCCCCACAGCAGGGAGAATTCTGGGTGGGATGAAGAAGGGAATGCTTACACCCCGGAACAAGGAGCACACGCCCCTCAGTGGGAAAGTGAGACATGAGCGTCGCGGTTAAAGGGAAGGCCACAGCAGAGAAAGTGCCCTAGTACTGGAGACCTGACACCTGTTTGCCGTGGCAGCGGAAGGGCCACCAGCAACCAGTCTGATTTTAACACCAATATTTCAATTCCATTTATACCTGCACTGACTCCTCTGCTGGAGTATTTAATAAGGGGAATCTGCAGAGACAGCATCTTTCCCTGCTTAGATGTGTGTCTTCCTGGTGCTCGTTCTCCACCCGAGCGCTAAGGAAATGAGAACTTGTCCTCCTGCCACCATCCTTAGGCTGGAACAACAGGGGAGAGGCACAGAGTGATCATCTCTATGGGATGCGTGAGCAAGGCGGTGTAGAAAGACCCACATCTGTTCGTGTCTGGAAGCCAGCGAACCTCCCCCAAGCCCTCAAAGTGCATGAAGTGTCACATACCATTTCTTGTAGGCGTACTCCAGGTAGGAAGCTACGAAGCGGGTCTCGAACTCAGAGGCGTATTTGGTATCGTATATCCCAGCTGGGAACATCTCCGAAAGGTCAGCAGTGAAGGTGCCAAGACTGTCAGGGAGGTGGGCGTAGAAGCACTGGTACAGGAACACCAGATCTATCAGGCCATTGTGCAGAACGAGGGGTTTCTTTGCTCGGATCAGCTCCAAGAAGAAAGCACGAACGTTCTGGCTCTGGTTCTCATTGCCCTGGTAAGGCAAGGGTTAAAGTCAGGGAGCCTCAATCTGCCCATCCAGCTGCACTTACCCACTGGCTGTCTTCAATATAGCCACTGTGCGCCCTATGCCAGGAAGCCCTTGTCCCCAGCCTCTGTTACTGAAGCGAGACCCACCCACTGCTCGTTCTGGACAGGGGAGTGGCCCAGCAGCATGGGGAAAGTGTCTCCTAGAAAGATGCAGGCTGGACGTGAGGGGAGAAGAGAAGTGAAGCCACTTGGAGGACAGACAGTGCAGTCAGGAGCCCCACAGCCAGCCTTTCAGCACCCTCTCCTGGCTCTGGGGATTAGCTAGCACCTAGCAGCACTACTCAACCCACAAGGCATTTCTGCACACCAGCCCAGGAATTCCAGAGGATCATGGAAAATGAATGTTTTCCCATCCACCGGGACCTTAACAACATCCCTCACCCCTGCTTAAAGTCATGTACGCCCTTTTGGACCCACGCATTTGACCTTCAAGAATGCAGCTACAACCCTGGTGAAGCTTGGAAAGCTGAATGGAGTTCACAAGAAGTCACAAACACACACCTCGTGAAAGACTCAACACAGAAGATCCCTGGCTTTGATCTCCCACAAAGCTCATGAGCAACCGTAAACCACATCCGCCCAAGCCATGGCAGATGTGGATACTTGCTGCACAAATGGAAAATTAAAGACCCTCTCGTGTGCGACTGTGGTCACTCAGAACAGACGATGGAACATAGAACAACTCAATGCTCGATTCACAAATACGAAGGAGGCATCACAGCAATACACCCTGCTACTCAGACGCAATTACCTGGCTTAACCATCTAACTTGTAAAATTATAGTTGTTGCTCTTTTACATCATTTACATCAGCCATGCGAAGAAGAGTGAGAAGTAGTTTGGACCTCGGTACTGGATCCGCACAATCCACCTCCATCTCTCTCTCAAACATCACGTAGCCCCAGCTCCGAAACCCCCAAGGATCGCCCTTTGTGACAGCCTGGAGCAGACAGGGCTGGCGATCAGATTTCCTCCTCAAGCGTGGAGGGCTGTACCTGAGCTCCCCTTTAATTACCGTGATCCGTAGGATAAAAAGAGGGGCCCCTGTGACAGGGAATCTCCCCAGTGCACATAGGTACCTTGTCATTGCCCTTGTGGTAGGGAATCCCCTGCGAGTACTGTTTGTTGAAGTCAAAGCCATGTTGCACCAGAAACTGAACTGACTGAGGTTCGATGATATACTCCTCCATACACAGCAGGGTCAGGTTGTAGATTTGGCAGAGGTACGTATTCTCAGACTGAAGAGACATATCAACAGGAGAAAGTTAGACAGGCCAGTAAGACAAGTCATACAGCAAACAGCCGTGGCCTGGGACTCCTAAGCAACTGTTTCACTAGTGGCTGGGACTGGAAACAAGACATGGGAACTTAAAGCAACGTCTCCCACCACTCACCTTCTACCGCCCAGTCCAGCCAGGCACTCAGACCTCCTGCAGTGTTCCAAGTGCCTTTGACTTCAGCGAGAGCGGATGCTGGGCTCCTCACCGTGAGCCCATTTCAGCAGAAACTCTGCTGCCTACAGAAGTGTGTCCTATAATAACAAATCTACTGGCACACGTATCTCTAGCCCAGCCATCCACTGAGAACCAGCAGCATCATATGAAAGGCTCCTTTAGCTAATTCACTAACTTTTAACTAAGGCACTGGCTCCTGCTACACTTTGTCCAGATATGACGACAGACAGGAGTGGTTTGAGCAGGCAACATACCTTGTCTGGGAGATGTTTAAAACAAGCGATTCCTAAAGACAGGACAGAGCGTGTTCTGGCAGCACTGCAGACAGCTTTGTATCTCTCTTCAATACATCTGCATTGAGAGAGGAGAGGTCAGCTGGAGCAGCAATAAACAGACTCGCTGCAATGACCGCACACAGTACTGCTCTCCTTGAGGCACAAACTACTACCGATGGCAGCTATGGGGGCTTCAGGTTTGTGTGGCAGACTAGTCCCCCCCCTCCCCTACCTTAACGATGAGCCCTTATTCTGGACCCCAGGATATGCTGTTGCTGCTCCTGTCTCCCATTCACTTTGTACAGTCTCTGCACCAGGGAGATCAGGATGTTCCCACCCCCACTGTTCACAACCACAAGCAGCTCAAGGTCCAGGATGGGTCAGAGCACAGGACACAGCTAACTGGAAGGAGGTGGGTCCAGGTTGGTACCTCTGGTCCTTTATAAAGTCAACTATAGAACAATCAGAGCTTTCAGTTCTGTGAACTACACAGCGCGTCAGTCAGCAACTTCCACAATCCCAAGTCTGAGGCCAGCTCTCGCCCAGTCCCCAGCTGGAATGGTGCTTTCAGCTGAGTCTCCCAGTGACAACTGTGCTTGTAATGTGGCTGCTAGCCTCACTCTGTTCTACCAGCAGGACAGAGCACCAGGGGTAATAGCAAGAAGAGGTTCCATCCCTAACAGCAGGAGTAAAACCACTTTGGCACGAAGGCACCCAAAGAGATGATATTTTAAGACAAGCAAGAAAATGGATGTAAAAATGAATACAGCATTCCATCTAGAAGCAGGGTCTGGCATTCAAGAACAGCACGTTACTTACTGGTTTAGCAAACTCTTCCTCGCTCCGAGACCACTTAGCTCCTGCAGAGAGGGGAGATTTGGTTAGTAATCATAGTGTTCCCTCCCCTTAAAGTCCAATGCAAAGATTAACATCTCCTCAGAGTGAACTAATTACCCTGCCACAAACTGTTAGGAGGCAGCTAAACTGAAGAGCTAGGTGCCAATTTAAATCCTGTTGCACGTTTGACAGAAGAATGCTCTCCTTCACCTACAGGCAGGTACTGCCTGCTGCATCACACGAGATCGAAGGGTGCTTCAGATCAACCATCAAGCCCTTTGGGGTCCAGGACCTCAAAGGAGCTAAACAAGGACAGCTCACCTGGGCTATTGTACACAAGTCAGGGCAGTGTATTGCAGAATGGACAATGAAAAGGCTGGCAAAAGGAAGATAAAAGATCTCATGGGCTCTATGAAGACAGGCTTGAAAACTAAGGTGTATATTCTGTAGTAAGAAGATTCAGATGGGCCCTTACTGAGGGATACCCTGGCCATTCAAAGAAGGGGGAAGCCTCAAGAACACAAGACTAACCAGTTTACATCAAGGAGAGGATCAAAATGAAGCAGGAGGAGGATTGGGTGGAATTCTGGAGAAGCCTCCCTACTCCAAGGATAACAAAGTGTGTGGAACAGACTCCCAGAGACAGCCACAACCATATCAAATAGGCACAAGCATAGTGGGGATAAATGGATATGACAGTGCAGAGACAAGAGCTAGAGGGCAAGAGACAGTATCTCTCCTTCCATCCCCAAGTGTAGCATTGACAGAAAGAGTCACACATCTTTGATGTAGAAAAGTAGGGGTCCTCGTCCCACTCACCGTGTCAACAGCTATGAAACTAGAGGTTTTTATGGCCAGGAGCATGGACGGCCACAGCTCCTTGAAGTTATCATTCTGGACATCAATGACAGGTACTTTCAAGCAGGTCATCTTCACGCAGGTCATGCTGCTTCCAAAAATGAGAGACAAAAACTCAAGTTATTTAAAACTTCAAGGAGTCATTGACCAAAGAGAATCTCCAACATAATGGACACATTAGAAATGCTGACCACTATTTTGCAGAGACAACAGAAGAGCCAGTTATGATCTCCACCAAGAACTCCCACCGATTTCAACCAACAATTCAGCAAGGCAGAACCAAACCCTGCCAGTCAGTGGCAGAGTGTACTCCCGGGGAACAACCCTGTGGCAGAGCTTCTGAAAGGGGCTGCTGCCCTTTGTTCACAAAGTCTTTCATGAGCAAGTGTGCACGGATCAGAGCGGAGACGGCATCGCTGAGTACAAGCTACGCGGCACAGACCATTATGTGCCATTCCTAGCCAGCCTCTGCCTAGAGCAGGGGTTCTCAAACTGGGGGGGGGGTCGCAAGGTTCTTACAGGGGGGGTCGCAAGCTGTCAGCCTCCACCCCAAACCCCGCTTTGCCTCCAGTATTTATAATGGTGTTAAATATATAAAAAAGTGTGTTTAATTTATAAGGGGGGGTCACACTCAGAGGCTTGCTGTGTGATAGGGGTCACCAGGACGAAAGTAGCCCCTCTCCCCCCTCCCGGGGATAAACGCCCCTGCCCCCCACCGCTGCCCCCTCCCCCCTCCTGGGGATAAATACCCCCGCCCCCCACCGCAGCCCCTCTCCCCCCTCCCGGGGATAAACGCCCCCGCCCCCCACCGCT